TTTTTTTAGGGTGTAGATCCTGTTTAATTTTTTATTTAAATTTATCTTTATTGTTGAAAGTATTACAGATGTCCCCCTTTTTTCCCCCATTGACCCCCTCCCCCTTCAGATCTTGTCAAGTCACCAAGTCCTATGGACAGGACCTCAGATTAATCTTCCACCTCTGCCCGATGCTCCACGCCCACTGTTCTCTCACACTGCACACCCTCAGGAGCTCTCACTGCTCCTCCTTTCTCCAGTCTTGCACCTTCGGGTCCATTTCCATATTAGTCACATTGCTAGATTGTTTAACACCTGCCAAGGGCGTTTTCTACAGGAAGACGCCCCTAACTGCCTAACTCGCTGTGAAACCCACGATGAATCCTGCCCTGACTACATCCCGGACTGCATCTTGTTACTAACACCCACGACTTTCATCAGCCCAGAATAGAACTAGAAGTTCCCAGAGGGTACCCACTGCTCCCACAACCTTGGTCTAATCTGTGTTAGACCAAGATTGCTGCTTCGGCACTTTGGACCGGAGCGCCTGTCACACTGGCATATGAGCTGTTTGTCTCTCTTCTCCCACTAGACTGTCAGCTCTTTTGGGAGAGGAACCAAATCTCCGCATCCCTCAGCTTGATCCCACCCTGTTGGTCATTCCTGTGTTTCATTTCCGTGAGCAGGAATAGTGTGATATGAGGGGCAAATATAATGGACAGGTGTGATTGTGGACGGAATTCCTAGGGTAGTAACGACCGCTGTGCTTTCTCCTCCCAGATGAAAGGCTGCATAAAGGTTCTGAAGGAACAGGCCCCAGACAGCGTGGAGGGGCTGCTGAATGCCCTCAGGTGAGCCTCAGCCTCTGGTAGACTCGCCAGGGGCGGCCAGCCCTTCAGATCCTTTGCAGATTTAGATGCTGTTGGGGACTGAGGGCTGGGGCACCAGGCTTAACCCCTTGTGTATTCTAACACATTTGCTCTTCCCGGCAACCTGTAAGGTCAGCACCATTTCTATCGTCTCCTTTTTACAGATGGCAGAAACTGAGATTTAGGGAAGTCAGGTAACTTGCCAAAAGCGGCACAGCAGATGGCCAAGCTAGGACCTCAGCCCCGGCCTGAGTGACCCCACCCAGGTCATGGGCCTAACTCCCGGCCACACTGCTTTGTGGCTGTGGTTAGTAGGGACTCGTCAGACGAAACAGCTTCCCATCCCAGGTCCTGCGTGCCACACCTAGGTTTTATACTCAGCTCCCTGTCACACCGTCTCACTTTATCATCGCAGCGCAGAGAAGACAGGCTCATCTGTTTTCCTCACCCATTAAATGAAGCGCCTGAGGTGCGCCTGAAATGAATGCACAAGACGCTGAGGTTGATCCTGCGTTGTGGCTTCTGCGTTGTCATTGTTCCAGACAGTTGTAGAATTAACCTAAGAGCCTTCCAGATTCTGAGGGTCAGCCAAGGTTTTCACAGAAGGCTGGCTTTCCCGCTCAGTAAAGAGACTCTAGCTACTGAAGTGTCTGAACTCTACAGCTCTATTCAGTCAAGCAAAACTCCTAGAGCAGTGCGCTGTGGGGGGCTGTGGGTCCCCTGAGTGCTGGCGTGTGTGTCCCCTAGGCGCTGTGATAAAGTGAGAGAGCACAGGCTTCTGAGGCAGCCAGACCTGGCTCCAGATGGTTCACAAATCCCTCATGGCCACCTCTGTGGTCTGGAATGGGTCATGTAACCTCTAAATCTCAGCTTTGACATCTGTAAAATGGAGGCAAATAACCTCTCTTGCCAAGAGTTTGTGTGAGTGAAATGAAAACTCACGCGGAGAGCCTAGGATGCGGTCATGATTTTATTACATTACTTCTCCTTTCCTTCCATAAACTATTTCTGCACCAGGTTAATGGGAGGATGCGGACTGCGTCACTTCTTATTTTGATTTGCTCACCTCCATGTGTGCCCCCTGGTGGGGTCAATGAAGATGAGCGTTGCCTAGAAAATAGAAAACTAGAAATTATTTTAGTGCTATGTTGTAATGCAAATCCATATTTTGAAATTCGTGACTTAGCAGGGGTGGCCTAGGTGGCCAAGACCCTGCATTCCATCATGGGACGTCTGCCTCCCTGGAAAGTGAGATTGCTTAACATCTCCTCTGTAATTATTTCGTTAGTTGATGTATTTGTTTAATAACCGTAATACAAAATTCCTATGGAAGGAAGAATGGAATTTTCAGTCCGTAGGAGAATAGTCTGGGTATTGGAATGCGGCTCTCTGCCTAAAGACCAGGCCCAGGCTTGATTTATAAATATCATTTGTGTCTCCCGAGGCAAAGATGGGCCAGCGAGCCGTTGCCGACGCTTTCACAGAGCACTATTTGCACAGTGAACTCCCTCGTTTTCTCTCTGTCCAGGTTCACTACAAAGCACTTGAATGATGAATCGACTTCCAAACAGATTCGAGCAATGCTTCAGTAAGGCGCTGCTCCGCGAAGAGGCTCTATGTACTGACCTCAGAAGATGTATATGTTTACATAATTTAATACAGATTGATGTTAATACTTGTGTATTTACATAACCGTTTCCTTCTTGTCACTGAAATATATGGACCTTCGTTTGTATCCCGACTGACTCAGCCCAGCAGAGCATACGTTGACTGGAGAGCCTTACCTTCGACGTCTAAAACACAACCCCCTCCGCCAAAGGCAAAATTTGGAGGCGTCGAACGTTGCCACTGGAGCCCTTTAACTACACCTGTAACCATCAGCAATTGCTAATAGTTTGTGGTAGTGTTTAAATTCTAGATGTGTAATCTCTCTGGGAAGTAGTGATAGAAACACAAAGTATTTGATTTCCTGGGTTGGCTCAGCTACAAGAAACACGACTGATATCCTGACAGTTGGAGAGAGGAATCCAGAGGAAGGAAAACGCTTGTGGAGAGTCCAGCCCACGTGCCTGGGACTCAGCACGCCCCTCTCTCCCGAGACTGCCAGCCACGCGTGCGGCCTTTCTGTTTGCACGCGTTGCATTCATCACACGTTCCCTTTCTGTCTGGATTTACGTCCCTCTAAAGATCCCTTTCGATTTTGCAAGAGGAAAGTCACCTGTGTTTGAATGAGAGAAGAGTAGACAGGCGTGCCGTCGGAGGTGGGCCGTCGGAGGTGGGCTGTCTAGGAAGTGGGGGGAGGGCGCCCAGGCAACAGGAGCCCCCTCTCTGCTTCAGCCGTCTGTGCACAGGCCAAGGAAGGGGAGCTCTGGCTTTGAAACTGTGGGTACGTCTGCTGACGCTCCAGTCGTTCGCGTAGTGCTGGGCGCACAGCCTCTCCTAATGGGAGCCTTGTTCTCTGTGGGCCCTTCATGTGACAGTAGAGTCCTGGGGTACTTCGTTAGTTACCAGAAAATGGGGGGGATTTGGAGGGGAACAATATCTACATTTTCTGGTTTCCTGGTCTTTCAGATGCAGCTCCTTCCTGACCCCATTGCGAGCTTGTTGCAGTGTGTAGAGCCTGGTCAGAGTTCCTGGATTTGGTTCTAGCCCTGTTGAGTCACAGCGTGATCTTGGGAAATTCACTGAAGCTCTGTGTCTCACCTTTCTCATCTATAAAATGGACAGTGAAAACAGACAATCTCCAAGAGCCCCCTAAGGCTACGGGTCATTGAAACGACCGACTCCTACATTCGTCCTTCGTAACGAGAGTCCAGTAAGCATCACCCACCTTAGCTTGATGATTGACCATATGACAAAGCCTAGGGTCATTCTGTCTGAAAATCAGAGCTTAGAATGAAACCGTGGAAATCTAATCTCCAATGGAAAAAATGAGACAGAGGGCGAAGTCAATCAGGACCCCACCCCAATGTAGGACTAGAATCCAGGATGCCTCACTCCCAACTCCATGCTCTTTCCTTTCCACCATGTGGCCTATGCATACCTACTATGGGATGAGACTGGATACTTTAAAACAAATCCTCAGCCTGGCCTATATAATTACTTACCTATTTCTGGTAGACAGGAAGAGTTACCCAGTGAATGATAATTCCAGAAGTTGGGTCTGGGTACCTTAGAGCCCAGTGTCATTCACAATATCCCATGAAATAAGCTGTCACACCATCGCTTCCCAGACTTTAGTGGCCAGCTGGCATTCCCTTGAGTCCTCCAAGGAAAAGGGAGACATACATTTGTTTTGTTTTATTTTCAACAAAGAAATCCAGCCAAGTGGCAAAACTGTTTCCATGGTCTGTATCTACATGTCAGTCAACAGAGAGGGGAAAGACCCTTTTCCTTAAAGCTGTTCAAGCTGAGCCAGTACAGCTGCTTGGATGGCTGCTCTCCCACCAGCATCGAAATGCACTAGATGGCCTTCAAGACCTTTCCAAGCCTAGGGATGCTAATGCCCTACCAGAGAATGGGGTGACAATGCGTGAACAAACTCATTAAATATTCAGCTTAAGAAAAGTTCTTCTATTTGGCAGCCACATAGTATCCTTGGGCAACAACTGTCAAGACTAGAAACATAGAGGCACTGAATGTTCACCCTTCTTGGGTCCAGTTTCCCCCTTTATCAGGAAAGTCTTGGAAAGAGGCAGGGACTTGCAGAGGAAATAGCTGAGCATGTGTATAATTTTTAATTAGACTTTCTATCAAAGGGGACCAAATATATGGGAGGGGCTGCTGGCCTGCCCCGATTTAGCCAGGTCATCGTATCTCGAAGCCAAGATTCAGCCACCAGTATATGGATTCTCAAAAGCCCAGGGTCTGGACATCGGGAGGAAGGTTAACTGAATGTCTGTGATCACGGACAGCGATGGACCTTGGGTCCACTCCAGAGCTATCGTGGGAGACAAATTCTTTTAACAGTCTGTCCTCCGGGCATCGGGAGTCCTCGAGCAATCATCTTTCCTGTGCTGCATGCACGTGCATCCAAGACCCATGGGTGGCTTTGGGGAAAGTGCTAGCGACAGTATCCATGTCAATGTCAACTATATTTCAGATTCGATGTCTCATAGTTTTCAAATAAACAGTGTTTTCCATTACTCCAATATGTATTTGGGGGGCAAGCAACAAAATGAAAATTACATTTCTCCGAACCACCGCTATTTTGGCCTCGTAACTTTGTTCTCAGAAACCTTTCATGAGCCACAAGGAATTAGTAGTAAAAAAAAAAACACAGAAAAAGTGCCAATAAATGTTTGAATTGTGGTGACCCATTCAGGCTGGCATATTAATTAATGACCAGAAAGACAGTCTTGGATATTATCTTATAACTATTAGTTGATATCATGCTTCACCAAAGTTTGCTCCTAGTCGTTACCATTATATCAAGATATTAATAGTAGACTGAAGTCTTTGGTACAGCATTGCATTGAAGTAAAAATAAGTTCATGCTTCCTCAAAAGAATAACAAAACCTACTCCATTTTAGGATCCAACTGTCCAGTAGAACTCAGAGACCTCTCATTCAATCTGGTATCCTAGACAGCTGTGCGTTTTCTAGGTGTTCATAATAAATATTGGGATTTTGTCTTAAAGAAACAAACACTCTGAAGCTCAGTTTCCCACTACATCTACCAAGGCTGATGCATTCACAAAGCTGGTTTACGGTTGTCATATATTGTTTGCTAAAGTAATTGTAATTTTTTTTGCCTGCTTTGCCTCTTTTTGTACAGAAGTTTTGGGCGTGAAATGAAAATTAAAGTTTGGTACATATATTTAAAAATGCACCTCTTTTATGTGATGTTCAAGGTTGTGTGGGTGATAAGCACATGATCGTAAATACATACCAAATCTAGATATTTGCTGAAGATCTGTTCTGGGCACCAGGAAGTCACACCGTCTGCCTTTGACTTCTTGTGCCTCAGTTTTTTTCATGTACAACATGAAACACCCAAAATATACTGCTCTTGGTATCAACTGTATCTCATTCATTTCAGCAAAGACTCCTCACTAGGACAAAAGCATAAAATAAATAGAATCATGATTGATCTATAGAAATGCATGAGATATACTCATCCAAGGAGGCTAAGAAACCCTAAAAAATGCCCTTTCACTCATTTTTTCAAGTACGGTAACACTTTATGAATTTGGCAAAATCAGCAAATAACCTCTTCCTTATAAGTACAGTTTTTCAGGCATCTTTTCAAGCACTAAAGCAATTCCCTTGACTACTGAGCATTGAAACTATTCCAGAGCATTACTTCCAGTGCCTACACCTTTTCAGCTGATCACCTGATACTTAATGATGTGTGATCTCAATGAGGCAGAGTCCCCAAGGGAAACCTTCAATGATGTCTTATACAAAAGGCAAAGAGAAATGCATGGAAATGGGATGTTTTCTATAGATTGACATGTGGACAAACTATAAGCGAACAAAAGCTGGGGGTGGGGGGAGGAAAGAGAGAGAGATCCTAATTAAATGAGTGTTGAGAGTTCAAAGATGGGGGGGAAATGAGGAGTGGAGCATATGTGTGATTGTCAACAGAAACAGCTAGTGAGGAATTGGACACTCTTCATACCAACCGGGAAACTTATTGCTCATCAGGGTCCTCTTGGATGGACAGCGTAGGCGTTCAGCTTGCTGCACGCATGAGCCCTGGTGAGTATTTGCAATTTGTTTTCACACCTGACTTTATGCTTTGGGTTATCAGTGAGTAGATAGACTTTCTAAGTGTTCACTATTTGCAAAGAATGTACTGTATTTACTCATTGCAAACTAAGTTACTGATATTTAAGTAATATTGATTAATTTATTTAAACTATTTATATTCATTAAGAACATTGTTCTATCCAATGTCAAAATCCTGATCTCTATTAGTAGAAAACGCCTCTGGTCACACCTACATGGTACCTAAATACTGAGAGGTCTTGGCAGTTCTGTCTGCTTCAGCTCAGAAGTCAAAACTCCAAAGAAAGTAGCTTTTCTGCCCTGGTCAAATCAAGTTTCTGGGACTGTATTTTTACTTCTGCAGCTTTTCTCTTGCCCGTTTTCTCTTACATAAAGTGTGGAAATCCTGGAAGTGTTGGAGGTGGGTGTCCTAAAAATACCTTCCACAAGATGCTTCCATCAAAATACCCTTGGAATTGTGATGAGATTTTAGATGTCCTAGAATTTAGTTTTGAAGGAGTCTTTTGGCTGAAAGTTCTTATAAATGCACTTAAGAAAGTCTTTTCTCAATGAAATCTTCTAGTTTCCCCCCATCAAATAGCACATTTCCAGACCCTCCTTTTTGCTTTCTGTTCACTTTTAAATAGCCCTGTTTGCACCATGACAGACTTGGTTTCAAATCAGGAGCTATATTTTATTAGCCTTTCCTAAGCCACCCAAGAGCTCAAGTCTTCAATGGTGTAACTTGAGGACCAGTAGTTTTGAAAGGCCACTTATACCTCCAAGAAGCATGTCTCTAGAAAATATCAAACGTACTTGGGGCAGCTATTAAATTATTTTTTTCCAAATGTCAGTATATTTGAAAGACTTTTCTTCCTTTTGTGTGAAAGAAGTAATGCAATCGCCATGGGGATGGGTGTGAAGGTGATGGTGCTCTACGTGAACACAGGCAGAGAGGAGGAAAGGCCAGGGAGCCCTAGGTTGAGTCCAGTATTATCTCCGAGATGTACCAGGGGGGCTTCTAGTCCATCGTGTCATCATGAATGCGCACCCTCTTCCTCACTCTCCGTCTGAAGTCTGCCATTACATCCAGGCCCAGGTCATACTCCACCTCCATGAAGCTTTCCCCATCCACCCCAGTCCACACTAATCATCTCTCTTCTTGGTTCCTAATGCATTTCATTTATTTGATACTAAATATCACTGCACAGTACTTTAAATTATGTGTTTGCTTTTTCCACTCGATTTTAAGTTCCTGAGGGCAGGAAAGTGTCCCTTAGAGGGCCAAGCTCAACATATGCTAGTGACCAAAAGAAGCTGCCTGCAAACCGGAAACGTTTCAGGGTCCTGAAACCTGAGTGTGCTGAAATAAATCCCTGAGAATTAAGGTTTGCAGCTCACAGTCATTCACAGTAACACATTTGCTACTCTCCTGACTGGTCAGTTTTATTCCTAGAGGAAATAATTACCTACTTGTGAGGATATTTTTAACTTCCATGGACACAGCTTGCAGCTTGCTGCTGATCTTCGAGGAGTCCAGCTGAGAAATCAGGCTGACGTCTTGATCAGAAGTCCGAGTCAGCTAGTCCCAGCAAGGGCAGGCATGCTAGTCAGGGGAAGGCTGGCTCGGTCTGGGACTAGGAAGCTCCTCCACCAGAGGCAGGGGCGGAATAACACAGGCAAAGTCTCCAAAACCGGGAGAAATCGATTCAGCACCTTGGATAGCAGCCCAGGAGCGTCGCCCTAACCGTCCGCGGTCATTTATACTGGAACCTATAAAAGCACTATCGGTTGGTTCAGCTTTGTCTCTAGAACTCTGGTTGGCAAAGACAATATGTTCATTCTAAAAATAAAGTTTCTAAGTAGCTGTTAAAACATGTTCTTTGCCCTGGGGCTTCTGAATATCACATACGATGAGCAGAAAGTTGTTTGGAAAGGCCTGGGTATCGTCTTGAGTTTCCATTTTCATGTCTAGGTTCAAGCCAAACTCAGAGGTCTGCCCCGTCTTCTTTATGCCCCTGCTCTTATAGCTGATTATTGAGACCTAACACATATCCTTTCTAAAGAGCTCTCAAAAACGATGAAATTCTCCCTGGTTGGTTTTGCTTCATTTACTCCAAGCTTCGTTATCTGTCCCTTAGATCACTCAGACTTGGCTCTCTCCTTCCTCTAATCCGTTCTTTACGCAACCAAAATCAATTTTTCGGTGACGTATGTCTGACAATGGCTGTGCCATACTAGTGCTCTTAGCCAGTTTCCTGAACTACGTTCTCAGAGGTGTTCATTGCTGATCCATTCATAAATTTAATTTTGTTATTGTTCAAATTAGTTTTGGCAACTCTAGTCCTTTCGTTTCCATTGGAATATTAGAATCAGCTTGTTGATTTCTACCCAGAAAATCTTGCTGGGATTTTCTTGGGATTTCTTTGAATCTACACATTAATTTTGGAGAATAAACGTTAACAACATTGAGTCTTATGATCCATGAATATTATAAATCTCATTTAGAGTTTTACTTTATCAATCTGAATCCCTCTTATTTTTTTCCCCCTATAACACTAACTAAAAGCTCTACCACAATGTTAAATAGACGTGGTGAGAGTGGATTGAAATTTTTTAAAAAACTAAAGAATTGTATGTTGTTTGAAGATCTAAAACAATTGTTTAAGAAACCGTTTCCACCCACGCTTTTAGGAAGCGTTCTCAGTCAACATGAGGCCTAGTCCATAGCTGAGAGCCTTGTTCACACTCTCTGCAGGTTTCTTTTCAGTTTTAGTAGTTTGCATTTTCGTAGAAAATAATACATTTTATCCACATTTAGAAATATTCAGCAAAAACTTTTACATTTTATTGTCCTCTAATTATCAATATTTTATTTTTACCTGTGGATAGGTTCATTTCCTTGGAAGGAATTTTTTTAATGTATGTTTTTCCTTCTTGTGCCTTGCTTAGATGAATCCATGACTTAGCTGTGTGTGTGTGCGTGCAAGCATGCGAGGAAACAGAAAAGTGGAGAGAGCTGGCCCGTGGGTAGAGCCCTGACACTGCCCATGGTAACTGCCCCCCACAACTCCCACTGACATCCCAGGTGGGCCTGGGGGGGTCTAGTGTGGGGACCCATAGTGTGTGTCACACATACAATCGTCTCCATTCGTAAGTGTGCCAACAATAAGGGTTTATCTTGTAAGGCTCTTTGGTATGTGATATCCCATCTTTGCCTCTAAATTTGTATCAAATAGAAGCTCAGTACCTCACGAGGCACACAATTCTATTTAGGATCTATGACAGTATTACCATTTCAAAAGAAGTAGAGGTACAGTTCTATACCTTCTTATTTAACAAATGGTAAAAAATGTCTCATATTTATTTGACTCAAGGTTTCTGTATGTCCTACCGGAACTTCAAGAGTACATAACTCTTTAAGTAAAGCAGTGCTATAGTACTGGTTAAGAATTCATAGAATAGATGCATTCTGAAATAATTAGCATTAGTAATTTCTGAAAATATATTGTTTTCCTTCCTGTTATTACAAATCATACCACAGACTTACAGAGTGACTTCTTATCTAGGTAGAAATAATAATCCTGTAAGAAAGTATACTTGTAATATTATATGATGGGAAATGGAGACTTGATTGCCTCTCCTTAATTAAGGGACTTGTAATTTTTTGCTTTGGTTTCAATATAACATGTTATCCTACCTTATACTACTTCTGAAAACTTATTCCCAAAGTATCATGGATAGTCCCCTGATATGATAAAGTCAACCTAAAATTAATTGTGGCAAGTAAAGAACATAGATTTATAAAAACAGAAAAGAGAGCTAAGTGGAGTGTATAAAGAACATCTAAAAATATTTGGGACAGATGATGGATTAACACTGCTACTGGTAATTGGGGATCTTATGTAACATAAGATGTTACAGATGGTAGGAATTATGGGTATGAAAGGTCTCACTTTGACAGACTTTGCCAGTGTTTTTAATAAATGTCCCATTCTAGCCTTAGACACAGTTGGGTTGTTTGAGAAGCAGAAATGCTTGGCATGTTGACTTAAACTACCTGTTATTAGCTCATTTTGTCGCCTCAAGATAACGAGACGGTGCCTGTGGAATTA